GCCGAAATCACATCGATCTCTCACCTGACCGACTTCCTGAAGACCATGACCAACCTGCAATACATCGACCTCACCTCCGTCCCTTGCTTCAACACTTTCACCACCTACGGATTTCTTTCCAATCTGGGCAAGAATCATCAGATTCACACCATCGAAATGAGTGAATCGTTGCTAAAAAAGTTGACGGCCGTAAATGAGTGGAAGATTGATGAGCACTGTGGCCGAAGACGATACTATTTCAGGGCAACACAAGAAACTCAAGATAACCGACCAGACCGAGTGCATGCAAGGAAACTCGATGTGATTGATTGTGGCCCAGAGAAGATGAGCAAGATCTTTCAATATTACAGTTTTGGAATTTAATCGACAAAATTAAAACTTTGTGCAGAAAAAAAAATTTCCTTTTTTTACAATAATATCTTATTGTCGATCGCGATGTCTCGCACGAGTTCCAATCTAATATACATTCAATTCGTGGGATTCACTGCAAGAACATTCTACCATTAGTCATGCGTTGATCGCTGATTGATGTGATCCATACAATTTCTCATACCATTAGAAAATTATTCTTTTAGATTAGCACATTAATATGTATTACAAATTTGGTTTTAATAACAGCTGTAAATAAATATATACACTTGTATCTTATTGAACAATCTAATATTTAAAAATAATAAAGTCTATGAAAATATTTCTTATTTTATCCCGTGAAGAATGATCCCGAGTGTGTTATTACGATAATTAACCGTCTACAATGTGTTTTTTTTTGGTCAAAAGGTTTGTTCATTTAAACAAAGGGTCACGCGAAGATCCCGAGAGACATAACGTAACTATCTTGGGACAGCAACTTAGGTCGTGCTCATATACACAGAATGTCATGGGAGAAAGAAAGTGAAGATGATTATAATGGACTTTCTAATGATGCAAAATTGGCGATAAATTGTGTATTGATTGCATTCAGAAAACATGGAAACGCAAAATGGTCTAGATATCGTTGCATTCAAATGAGTCATTATGTCATTAATGGAATTTCAATTTATTACTTAATTCGGAAAAATTTTTTTTTTTTTAAAAAACTGGTTTTAAAAATAACAATCATGGCGTTAATGCATTAACGAGCTTCGTGTTACATGTGTTAACATGCACTTTTTCTCATTCTGAACTCCCTTGAATGACGATCTTACCGTATATCAGGTTACTGTAAACCGCACAAACAAATATTACATATTATACCATGTTGTATTATTCTATACAAATGTCGATAAAGGACAGATTATTAATCATTATTTCCAAGCAACATGAATTTAAAATTTGCAGTCAGGAATTTCGCAATCCCTTTAATCTTTAAAAAATCTATTGTCATTTTCGATTCCAAACAGATAATTTTTATTATTAATTTTTTTTATTCCAACTTCTTTTTACCGTTTCAAAAATTATTAACAATAGTTTCAAATTTTTATTTTTTCAGCCTATCCGTTAAAATAAACAATGAAAAATATTTCGTAATTAAATTAAAATAATAAGGATACAAGCCACCGCGCCTATTGATATTCACTTTTTTGTAAAATTGTATTATTTAAATGCTGTATGTATAATATCAAAAAAAGAATAATCGTCGCATTTGCCCTATTCAAATAAAACCTCTTTTCTATTTCACAAATTTAGACAATTCGTCATTTACTTTCCAAATCCTTTTAAAAATTACTCACGGCACATTTACTTAACATGCTGCATTTTATTTATTTCTTTCGATTTATTTTGAATTTTTTGATAATTTGAGCTAACTTGAATTAATATTATCAATCAAATGCTTTTTTTAAAATTACATAATAAAAAATCATACCATGTTAAACAATTATCAAATGAAATAGATATCACATAACAAAAACGATTGAAACGTTTTACATCAATTAAAAAAAAAAAAAAATCATGCCATGTTACAAAAATTATTTAATAAGATATTATCATACCGTGCGTACTAAAGAATTATTTAATAAAATATTATCTTGTCAATTAAAAAAAAAAATTATACCGTGTTAAAAAATTATCTAATAAGATATTATCTTATCAATTAAAAAAAATCATACCGTGCTAAAGAATTATCTAATAAATTATCTAATAAGTTATTATCTTATCAATTTTAAAAAGAAAATCATATATTATTATCTTATCAATTAAAAAGAAAATCATATCGTTCTAAAAATATGATCTTATCAATTAAAAAATAATAATAATATTTTGTTTTTAAAAAAAAAAAAAAGATATATGATTAATTAATTAATTATACAATTTTAAATATCCAAAAATCTTGAAATTATAATAAATAAATATTTATTTATTTAGTCAAAACTTGTATAATTGAATTGTTAAAATAAAAATAAAATAACAAGTAATAAATATATTAAGTATATGATATTATATTTATGATTATTTATATAGTTGATATAAAAGTCTTTTGGATTTTTATTTTAGCTTATAATTCAATAATCAATAATATAATGTGATATATATATATATATAATATTTAAAAGTTTAAAGATTAAAATTATTTAAAAAATTTTATTCTTATATAATTTATTTTTTATATTTTGTTAAAAAAATTTATTAAATAATAACTAACAGAATTATATAATTTTTTTATAATTTCTTTATTAGCAAAAAAATTTTTATTTACTGGAGATAATATATAATTATTAAATTTTAATAAACAAATCTATGTTAAAAATTTTTTTTATATAAATTAAATTATTCTTTTAATTTTTATAATTGATTTTTTTATAATAAAATTTTATTTATAAATAACAACTTGAATTTAATTTATATAGGTAATTATTTTTAAAAGTGAATTTAAAATTTTTTGATATTACAATTGTAATTATTATATATTTATTGTTTAAAAATAGAATCTAAAAAAATTATATCTAATATTTTTATTATTTTTAAAAATAATTATCCATATATAAAAGCAATTATTATTTTTAAAAACTTTTTATTAATTTTAAATGAATTTTTTAAAATAAAATTATTAATTTCTAATTATTATTATTTTAAGAAAAAATAAAAAAGAAACTGGAATAATATATATTTTGATAAATAAAACTTTATAAAGGAAACTTTTTTTTGATAACTAATAGAAAAAAAATATCAAATACTATAAAAAACAATTATCAAATCATCTTGCTTAAAATCAAACACCTTATATATTTTTTTAACTTTTTTTTAACAATTATTATAATATTAATCAAATAATTATTATATTACAATATCTTTTCTGAAAATTATAATCTTAATATCTACTGGATTAATATATAAATTGACTTCTTATAAGAAATAGTATTTAGCAAGTTATAATATCAATAAAAATATTTAAATTATATATTTTTTAATTTAAGTTATTCAGATTATTTTTTTTTTCCATAGTCAAACAAGCGCGTATTGTTTATTAAATCTTTTCAAAAAACAAATAATGTATAATACATTGTATTGCATAAACTATTCTACTGCCTTGAACACCTGTCTTAGACAAATGTCTCTAGATGTGACTTTGGAAATGAAAAAAGTTGATCTCTTTTCTATCTATCCACCTATGGAGTTTGATATTAAAGGTCATCACCTGCAGTTCATCACTACAATTTTAAGTTATTCAGATTATATAATATATCCATATAATAATAATAATTATTTTTTTTTCCTCTAATCAAACTGCTATTAGCATGTTTATTGATTTAATTCTGAATAACAATAATACAATATACAATATGATATTATACTAAAGCTAAACAGTCTATTATAGTAGAACACTCGTTAACAAGTTACAGATTTGTATATAATCCTTGAATTTTTAATACCAAGACCATTGTATTGTCCACATAATCTAGCTAATCACTAACTATTTTATTACAAGGGAATAAGTTCATTAAGCTATTACTGTATGGTATTAACTATCTTAGACTTTTCAAATCCTAATTCTCTAGATGTGATTGTGAGAAATGATAGAATTGCTCCTTCCTGAAGTTGGATTTCTTTGATCTTCATTTCAAGAGATCAATGTTAACCTACATTCAGACTATCACTTCAGCACAACCTTGTTATTCTAAGAGAAAAAAAATTTTTATTTTTCTAAGAAATAAAGGAAAGATAAAGAGGAGGGAAAAGTTTATGCTAATAAATAAAAATCCATCTAAACCAATCACCAGTCTAATGAGAGCCTTCTTTGATCTTGAAGAGAAAAGAAACCAGCCCAAAAGAGGAGAGGGAAGACTTCAAACCACTTCTTATCAAAAGGACGTCTTGACACCTTGTTCTTTCACCATTATCCAATTGCATTATCGATTATAGTATGGTATAACATGGAATACGTGGGAGTATGTGTCTTGTTTACTTTTCTTTTACATGTCAATCAATCAGTTCCAAAATTTCAGCCAATTATCAACCAGAGATTCCGGTGTAACAAAAATTCAGGGTCAAACTGAGGTAGGCAAAATTCTCCCGAAAAAATCCAAAAAAATTTGCTATACTTGAAAGTGCTATCACAGACATGTATGAATGGTGAAAAAAATTCATATACCCAAGTGGATAGGTTTCTACCAGCTTATCCACCTGCCTCATAGTGAGGTTTAACACTTATAATGAATCTAAGATTCTTATGGTGCTTGGAAAATGCATTTACTTGATAGGCCCAACTAGCTTATCCACCTGCCTTTAGACCGAAGGTTGTTTACTTATGGTGAATCCAAGGTTCTATGGAGCTTGGGAAATGTATTTACTAGTAGTTCACTTTCTGAAGTTTCAGACCTAGGGAGAATATAATGGAGGGTGTTTTTTCAATAGATTTCTTCTTCCCAGTAAGGTGTTCTTGCCATAAACCAAATGGGTAAAGTTTTGTTTATTTTGTCATTGAAATATCCAAAGTTTTTGAAGAAGGAAGAGTAAACAAGTGGGAGGAGGCACCTGCCTTTAGGAAGTAATGTTTTTAAAGAAAGTGTATAGACTTTATTATCAAAAATAAAAATTATTTTTGAGAACATCTGTTTTTTGGATTGGCAAGAGGATTGGCGAAAAGAGTTTCTATTATAATATATTTATTGTATTTATTTAATTTTTAAGAGAAAATATAATTGTATTTATATAAATATTTATACACAAACTAATTATTTATACTTAAATTCCATCTTATATAGTTAATCTCTAGGTATGATCTTGGAAATAAATAAAGTTGCTCTCTCTTGTTTTATAGAAAAACTGAATATATAATAATTTTATAATATATAATATCTATATATTAATTATTATTTTTTTAAATATTAAGTAAGACATTTCTCATAATCTTTATTAATTATATAAAAGTTGTTATATAATTAATA